TTCCCACCCCATTTCGCACCAATTTAGTCGTCTGTGTTTACAGTTCAGGGATGAAACACAGACGTCACCCAGTGCAAGTACCGGTTAGCTTAAATAAGATTATAAAATTTGGCTTCTTTTCACAATATTAAATGAACATATTCCACTACTTTATTCCTCTTTTCTCTACCAATCCCCATTTTATTTCATTTATTATGTCGCTGCACTTCGTCAGCAGCAATGCTACTCTTTCCGATACTTTAAAAATTTTACAAACTAACTGTAAGAGCGATGCTGTGTCTGTCAACAGCAAATGTTGAAATTCCTTTAAAAATATGAGGCGGGTTTGCTCGTCTGGAAAAAAATTCAATTCGGAATTTTGTCAAAGCGATTCCAATAAAAAAGTTTCCGAAGATTTTCTAGCGCAGATGAGATTTCAAAGCAAAAAAAAAAGCATCCTTTCTCAGATTCTCAAGCTGCGAATCGGAGACTTTATAGGAAATCCAGCCACTGACATCCCTAAACCGATAAAATAGAGGAGTTTCCTATAAATCGAACTGGGTATCATCATCAATATCAAACCATATCGAAACAATTCGTCTATCATTATTCTTTGCAAGTCGGCCATTATCAAAAGGATCAAAAAACGAACTTAAATTTCAGTTTTTTTTTTTCTCCTGACCTAGCGACTTCAGATCTTAACTCATGTCCACTTGATATCTCCGGAACGAACGAAATCAGAAGTCAGCCCAAAGCGTTTCATGAGTTCGCCCGACATTTACCAATCCCATACCCTAATATATTTCTGCCTAATTTAAAAACAGAACAACACAAACCTACAAAAAATACTCTGTATTGTCAGCTTACTTCATTGATACTATTTTAAAATACTTTTTATTGCATTTCCCAAATTAGTAGCTGTGAGCTTAAAAAAAAAGCGCTTAAAGCATTCTGGAAAAAAAAAATCCACCAGAAAAGCACCACTTATCATGCTTAACAATCGATCAATTATCAAAGGATCAAAAGCTGGCAAGTTCGGCCTGGATGCATCGTTTAAATGGCTGCCAACCGAAACTTCCTGCTCCTGAGGATGCCTTAAAAAAACAGCTCATGAAACTCATAGCAATCTTCCAATCAGACGAGTCCAGACCCAAATTCATAAATGTTTTTTCTAACCAAATAAAACTCTTTCACTAAAAACTGCCGAATGTTTACAAACTCTCCATACGGACATAAATTTCAGAACCGTAAGGGTCCTGAACGTGATCTTACAGAAACGCTGGGATCACCAAAAGGCTAATAACGAGTCGATGCAGCACTGGGCAGATCAAAATAATAACTTTTCGAATTCAGAAATGCAAAAACAGAGATAAATTAGCAGTTTTCCCAACCATTCCACGAAAATTACTTTCTATTTCACTTCCCTGGCTTTCCTAGTTGGATTTCCCAGAACGAAACCAAACAAAGATACCTTGAAACCGCGCCGTACGCGATCATTCATCACACCAATGAATTCGGTATACGAAAGGCGATCGTCGTTGTTCGTATCGAAAATGCGGAAGAGCAGCTTCACGAGATTCTCATTCAGATTGTGTCCGGTTGAGGCGCGAACCACTCGTCGAAATTCCATCTGCGATACCGGGATATTAGCCAGTGTATATAGGCGCACTGCTGCCGTGAATTCTTTCAAATTGTTCAGGAAGAGAGAAAAAGATTCGTATTCGGCAAACGTAACACCCTGCAAGGAATGGTGACGAATATGGTGGGAAATTAACACGTAAAAATCTCTACCTAGCCAGAGGTCCTCTAATTATTAGGGGATCTCTAGTGTCTCTAAACTTTAATCTCTAATCGTGAAAATCTCTAATGATGGTCATCACAACAACAGGG